ACTGTGATTGCAGAATTACTAGCTATTTTTCCTAATAATTCATATTTTAAAATGAGTATTTTTCAAGTTGCCTTTGTGTCATTTAATACGGAAATTAAGAAAAAGTTTTATGAAACAGAAAACTCAACAGGACACTTTAAACACACAGGAATTTTATTAATAGCCGCAAATTACCTCAATAAAATAAAATAATAGATTTAATGTTGGAGACCAGATTTCAAATGTAATAAAGGGGACTTTTTAAAAACATGATAAAAAACAAATTGCCTTTCTTGAAGTATAACAGATGGGAAACAAAGTTTATTATTCAAGAATTACAAGAATTGTGGAATTATTTTTTTCCCCAAAGCTAAATGAAAAGCATGTTAAACAGATATTTAAAGGATAAATAAGCAAAGCAATTTCATCCTATTATATAAATATCCCGCTATACTTTCATACTTAGGCAGTAGAACAGCACTTTTAATTAGCAGAACTTTCATGATGCTCCTAAGGGCTTGAACCAGTAGGTTGCTTTGCAGGCCAAAATCTCATGCTGGCAGGAAGGGATAATATTAATTAAACACTCTTACAATACTGATAAGGATATCTTATGGCTTCTTGACATCCAATCAGCATTTCTGATGGAAATAGTTTTTTGCACATCCTGTTTGAAGAACAGTTCTTGGAATCTTAATAATAATAATGATGATGATGATGATGATGATGATGATGAGTTGGAAGGGACCTTGGAGGTCTTCTAGTCCAACCCCCTGCTCAGGCTGGAAACCCTATATCAGGGGTGTCAAACTGCCGGCCCGCAGGCCAGATGCGTCACATTGAAGTGGCACCCACCCCATTGCCGGCAATGGCAAAACCGGCCCAATACGTTGCGTGATGTCACATGACGTTGAGAGTTTGACATGCCTGCCCTATACCTTTTCAGACAAATGGCTGTCTAGTCTCTTCTAAAAACTTCCAGTGTTGGAGCATTCACTACTGGAGGCAGGTTATTCCACTGATTAATTGTTCTAACTGTCAGGAAATTTCTCCTTAGTTCTAGGTTGCTTCTCTCTTTGATTAGTTTCCATATGTTGCTTCTTGTCCTGCCTTCAGGTGCTTTGGAGAATAGCTTGATTCCTTCTTTGTGGCAGCCCCTGAGATATTAGAACACTGCTATCATGTCACCCCTCGTCCTTCTCTTCATTAAACTGGACATACCCAATTCCAGCAACCGTTCTTTATATGTTTAGCCTCCAGTCCCCTGATCATCTTTGTTGCTCTTCTCTGTACTCTTTCTAGAGTCTCAACATCCTTTTTACATGGTAGTGACCAAAACTGGACACAGTAGTCAACTATTTTGTACACCCCTAGTTGGATTAATATATATTACTACAAACCAGATGTTTTATGAGATTATAATTTCTTCCCTATAAAAAAAATCCTGTCCCCCCCCGGCATGTGTAAGCTAAGGCAGCAACCATCACTTCCACATTGTTGGTATGAAAATTGAATGGATGCGTCCATAAAATCACCAGAAGAGGGGTTTAAGTTGAAAGTTTGCTGAAATGAATACATTTGATAATAAATTATTTGGAGTGTCTCTCAATTTCTTTTTATGTAAACAAGATTTGGATAAAACCCTTCATCATGATAAGAAATAAAAAATTAATTATACCAAACCAGAAATAAGTAAAACATTGCATTTATGTGAAACCTGAAAAGGATCTGAATTATGATTTGAATAGCCATAGCTAACCATGCACACAGGAGGTAACAAACCTACAGGAGCTGGGAAAAAAATATTAGAGTACTCTGTATAATTTTCCTGTTTATTAAAAGCTAATTATAACCTTTAAAGCAACTTAATCTTATCTACCTGCCATCATGTCTCATAAAGGAAATACTAAAGTAGCCAAAGAAAGTAATAAACCATTTTCTGAGGAAGTTAAAACTGGAATTTGGAGAGGAATTTGAATTTGGAGAGGCAGCTTCCATGTTTAACTTTACAACACAACAGAGATAAAAAAGAATTAACCAATTCAACAGAAGTGAATATGTGTACTCAAGGTTGAACTGTGAGTATTTGGTGCTCTCAGAGCTTGGTTGTTTGTTTTCTTGCAGATGTTTCATTACCCAACCCAACTCAATAGAGTTTGGCAAAAGATCAAAAATCTGGTAGCGCCTTTTCTGGCTAACAGATTTTTGTAAGCTTAAATTTGTTAGTTAGAAAAGATGCTATCAGATTCCTGATTTTTTTTTATCATCATAGACTGGCAGGGCTTTCTTAGAGCAGTGGTGGTAAACCTATGGCACAGGTGCCAGAGGCGGCAGTCAGAGCCCTCTCTGTGAGCACGCACACCGTCGTCCCAGTCCTTCGGCTGGGTTTTATAAAACCTTTTCGCTTTAGGCCTCCGCCGCCGTGTGCAAAAAAAAAAAAAAGGTTCAATCAGTCAATTTCAACTTCTCGTGGGAAAAAAAAGATCTTGCAAAGTTGGAATTGATTGATTGAACATTTTAGTCCTACCCAGTCTGCTGTTACCACCGCAGCCACGCCCACCCAATGGGCCACGCCCACCCAATGGGCCACACCCAGCCAATGGGCCACACCCACCCGGCACTCGACGATGGATAAGTGGGTTTTGGGTTGCAGTTTGGGCACTCGGTCTCTAAAAAGTTTGCCATCACTGTCTTAGAGTTTGGCAATTGTTTATTGATTACAATATTCAGAAAAAATATCTTCTTTATTATTATTACTGTTCATCACACAGTCAGCCAGATGTTCAGACTGGATTTTGGCATTTTTGTCCACTTATGGAATCCTTCCCAAGGGATAGGCAGATATGGATGTTTGATGGTCTTACAGATATCATCACAGGATGTAAGCTGTTCCGAGTAAAGCTGCCTTTTGCAATTGACTGATAATTAATTTGTTAATGCTGATATTTACATATTTTACTGGGTTTTACTATTTCTTATTATCTCTTAGTTTTTTATACTATTATTATACTATTGGTACATAGCTCTTTATGGATCTAATTTGGACAATGTGAAGTGACCCACTATATTTGGACAGCTGTGAAGCAACAGCAAATATTATGTAATTTATTATTATGGTATTACTGGCAGGAGAGGCTGTTGTGATATTTTCTCATATTTTGTATCAAAATAATTGGCCATACCTCAGGCAGCCAGATATCTTGGGCCAGCCGTACACAGAGAACTAGGGAATGTACAGTTACACACTCCTTTTTCTCCAGTTACTGTGCAACCAGTTAAGCAACATAGAGTTAAGAGTTACTACATCTCTCTGCTGCCCAATTTGCAACCAAAAGATGATAACCCAATTCTTGTTTTTCTCTGTTGGCTTTAATTTCCAGTAAAAGGTACTGACATTTTGGATGAATTTCCACTGAACAAGGCAATCCAAACATAACAACCTTACATAGATATTCACAGTACAAACAAGCAAGAAGCAAATTTACTTCCTCCCATAAACACCAACTAAATGTAGTAAAAATGTAAGTTTTACAAGGTAGAACCTCCAAGATGGTCTATGAGAAAGAGTCTATAACTCAGATTCCCCAACTTAGTTAGACATAATGCCGATTGGTCGATGGTCCTAATTACAAGGTAGGATATCACACAGGACTGAGGAGACTGGTTCAAGTCCGCATTTAGTTTAATAACTTTGGGCCAATCCCTATACTTAGTCCACCTTAACTTGCAAGGTTTTTGCTATAGAAATAGTCTTGGAGTAAGAAATAGTATGCAGCTGCCATGAGGACCTGAAGCAAAACTGAGCTCAAACAAGTTAGCTAAACAAAATAAATAAAATATCTGAACCATACATTCTGTATAATGTCCACAATGAAGAATTTCCCACATTCACTTATTTCACAATGTCCAGTGAAACTGAATGCAAGGCTTTGGTTCCATGGAAAATATTCTGTGAAGAACGTCTGATAAAAACTGAATATAAAACGTAAAATCTGTTAAAAAGAAAAAGAAAGAAGAGACTAAATTCTCACTGTTGGATTTTTACTGGAAAATCCACATCGATGCTGTATGCCTTTGTAAACATTATTTATTAAGGGCGGATGCATTGATCTACTGGCGTCCTTCTATAGATGAGGATTGATCAAGGGTTATCCTTCATTATTTGTCCGCTTCTGACATAGACCTTTCTGCGTTCTCTCTCTCTCTCTCTCTCTCTCTTCAAATCACGACCCTCTTTGATTTGGGATGAGCTCCTCCTTGAGTAGAAACTGCGGCTCGCTGACTAACCTGCGCGCAAAAAAAAAAAAAACAGAGAGGTCGCATCCGCGCCTTCCCCTCTCCTTGAAAACGGCTCTCTTCGCGGGAAAACCACGTTGATTCTGCCGCAGGCCTGTTATTTTCCACTTCGCGGGAGAATAAAACAACAAAGTTCGGGAAAGCAATAGGATCAGCCGTCGACGGATTAATATTCATGAAGCCGGTGATGTCATGAGAAGGAGAGCTGTGGCCTCCTGAAAGCGCCATTTCCTGGAGGGAGAAGCAAGAAGCCGAGTCCAAAGACTCGCAGGAGGAAGTCGCGGCGGCCGAAGGAGGGAGCTCCGCGTCGGGGCCAAGCTCAACTCTGCGGGCTCGGCGGCCCGATGCACTCTGTGCACTGCGGGAGGGAGGCCGGCAGGGGGGGACCTTCCCGACTTGGCGATCGCAAGCTCAGGGAAAGAGAGCAGAGCCGCCGGCCGAGCCAAGCGCTGGTGGGGTGCCTGGCGCTGCCATCTCCAGCCGCTTCTTTTCCTAGCTTGCCGTGCGCGATCGCGTGGGCGCCGAGCCCTTCTTCGCGCCCAGCTCGAGGGGGCGCGGACCGCCAGCTTTTCTTTCAAGGAAGGGGCGTCGTTGGTTTCCCTTTCCCCTTTCCCCCCCCCCCTTATTGCTTTGCCGCCTGCCCGTTCTCCCTTTCTTCCTTTTCCTCCCCCCTCGCTTTCCTCCCCGTCGTTAACATTTGGGGGACCGAGGCGAGACAACCGCTTTGGAGGTCGCTAGGAGGATGGTGATAAAGACGATGAAGGGGAAGAGATGGAGATGAAGCAGACTATGCAGATGCGGGGACTCCTGTTGCTGTTGCCGGCACTATGGGCTCTGTTTTCGCGGGACTTCAGGGCTGTAACAGGTAAGGAGATGCCGCTCCTCCGAGTTCCCTCTCGGTTAAGACTCTCGACTTGATTTTTACCGGTTCTTGCCCCTGTCACACCCGCCCGCCCGCTGGATTTTACGTTTCCCAGGTGGGTGTGCTCCCGGTTCGAGTTTCTTGTTGGGCTATGGGTCACTTCTGTTCTGCAACCGAGTGGATGAAGCGGCACAACCGGGTCTCGGGTTGCTTTGGAGTGGGATCCCTTCGCCTTCGGGCGCTCCTGTCCCGACATCCCTTCTTTAAAAACAAACAAACAAACAAACAAACAAACCCAAGTAGATTTGCGATAGTGGCGAATAGTAAACTCCCGTGTATAGTTTTCTTCTTCCTCCGAAGGGACTTCCAGCAGATAAGCTCTCCCTGCTGCCCCGGGGTAAGCGCAGTAGTTACAATGATTTTCCCATCTACTCCCAGTGCTGTGAGACTGGCCTGCATCTTTCCTCGTTGGAGCTGAAACAAATGATAAAACTGAAGGAAAATGTATTTCGTTGTTTATATTTGTTTAAAAGCTGGTGTTATTTTTTTTTTTTGTTATTTTTTTGTTGATAATAGTGATTTCATGCCCATCTTTGTACATGTCAAGTTGAACTAACAGTTTGCATGCCAAGAATTTGATTCTTCCATTCCACTCCATTGCCTGTTTTCCCAATTCTCCAATTCTAATATTATTTGAAGAGTCCTTGGGAGAGTTAGGACTTCACTCCTGTGGAGATCCTTCCCATTAAAGGCTTCCTAATTGGATGGATTCAGCCAGTTCTAAATGAAATGTCCAATAAGACGCTCTTATGGTCCCTGCAGGATGGCCTCATTATCTTTGTAGAGGTTTTAAGTGAGGATTTGAGTGGATTAGCACACATGAAGGTTGAAAAAGTCACAATCTACGTGAATGTTCATTCACAGATATTTAGCGTAAAATATATTTAAGTGTTTGCCCTTAAAACCAGGTTCTATCATCAAGTCAGTGTGGGTAATCTGTGACTCTCCAGTAGTTTGGAAATGTAATTCCAGTTGTTGCACCAGTCCACCAGGGTATTGAGAGTTGTAGTTCATCAACACCTGGAATGCCATAGGTTCCTCAGGCAGCTGTCCCAGGTAGATTAAGTTGTGGATGGTAAAAGGACAGTGACTTGTTGGTTTTTATTGTATGTTTTACCGGTATGGCAGAAGGGAAAGATACTTGTGGAGTTTTCTGTCCATGTACCAAAATAATGACTTCAGGCACTATGGCTGGTTAAGGTCTATGGGAAGTTGCAAGCATGCTTTGGCGTTATATCTCAGGCAGCAAAATGTCTTGGCCTGCCATCTATTAGAATAAGAATCGTTGGCTATTTTAGTACTTCTTTATTGCGTCAACATCATAAACATATTTGAGGTCTTTGGCAGCTCTATTTATATTTCCATAATTGAATATTGGCTACAGCTCTTGAACATAAGGCTATCCTTTTTTCTCTCTGTGACTTTATCCCAGGCATTCATCTTTATGGAGAGACAGGAGGTTAAAAAAACTGTTTACTTCTTCTACAAGTGATAATAAATATACCACTGACACAATGTTTTGTAGGACTTGGATGTCTATACATCACCCTTTATATGCCTCATTAATGTTTTTGTGAAATACTGATAGAAATAATGTTATATCAAGATCTCTACTGCAATATCACAAATGCACAAATAGATTTTCCAATGAATCAGTGACACTTGTAAAATTATTGAAATTAATATTTTGTTTTCTAATTCAGAACAGGTTAAAATTTGGAAGTCATTTATTTAGGGAGCAATTCTATTATTATAAGCCCTCACTCTCCCACTGTATTGGTGAATTATTGCAGTTTGAAACCATAAATGTTGTCACTGGGTCATGAACTAATTATTCCAGGTTGGATCCATCTGTTACCAGTTTCCAAAATTAGCTGGTTAGTGTGACTGACTGAAGGCTGATGTCAGTACTGAGTCAAAATAATCTGTGGGCAGAAAATAAGAAGTGGACATAAATAGAATTTTTTTTAAAAAATAAAAAATCAATCTGAAAGGAAAGCAGTAATGTTGATTCTTTGGCATAATTTAAGTTTGTGGGTCAGAAACCATCCTGGATATTTTCTACTGGGAAAATATTTTTGAGAATTAATGTGGATCTTATCTTACTTGCAGACCTAGATCATAGTATCTGGAAAGCATGGAGATCCTTCCATATCTATGGACTCTGTAACTGCAGTCCTCAGTTGTACCTCTTTTGGGTAGCACAATCTGTGTAGTGGTTAAGGCATCGGGCTAGAAACCAGGAGACTGTGAGTTCTAGTCCCACCTTAGAACAACAGCTGGCTGGGTGAATTTGGGCCAGTCATTCTCTGTCAGCATAACCTGCCTTGTGTACAAGATTGTTGTGCAGAAAATAGGAGAAGGAGCATTTTATGTATTTGCTGACTTGAGTTATCTATAAAAATAATAAAGGCGGAATATACATGATAGATAGATAGATAGATAGATAGATAGATAGATAGATAGATAGATAGATAGATAGATAGATAGATAGATAGATAGATAGACTAATTAGAGTCACTACGAGAGCATGTTGAAAATGCTGAGGTTTTTGAGATTCCTCTAAATGTAAGAACTTGAACCATGCATCTTTTTGACTAAGAAGTGTCCAACAGTTTTAGTTGCCACTGATAATGTGTGAGATTAGCAAAAACTCTCACTGTACAAGCAGGCTGATCAGTTTTACATCTGTAGCATGGAGTCATCAACTTTGAAATACTTTCCAAGTCAGCTTTCCCCAGCCTGATATACCATTGATGTGGTCACAATATCCTTTTCAGAATTCTGGGAATTATATTTGCAGTATAGCATGATGACTTAGGTCAGGGGTAGGCAACCTTGGTTCTTTTATGACTCGTGGACTTCAACTCCCAGAATTCCATGGCTGGCTCAGGAATTCTGGGAGTTGAAGTCCACGAGTCATAAAAGAGCCAAGGTTGCCTACCCCTGACCTAGGTAAAAGATGCCTGTTCCAAATTCAAGCAAACCTACATTGCAGTTATATATATCTGGCACCTAATACAATGGGAATTAGGGGAATATTCCTCTGATAAACATACATTTCTATTTTCTTTCCCCCCCCCTCTTAAGAATCCCAGTACTTGCTATCAGTAGACAGTGTTTGCAGAAACAGAAAGTTAATATGCTACACTGCAAAGACATCTAGAAGGCCTTTGGTAGTTATTAGTTATATTTAGCTGATAGCTGCATAAGTAAACTGAAATTTCTTTCCTACTTTGAGAGAGAATAGTGGTTTACTGATGATTAGGCCAATAGGAATCAAGGTTGGCAAGAGTGAAACTGGTAGGGAGTTCATTGCATTGTGCAACTTCTTTTGTGTATTTCTCATACCTACACCCAACCATTTAGGCAGCTTTTATTTTATTTTAGGTTTAGAATTAAAGATCCTTGAATGCAAAAGAATTGTTAAGTTGCTGCTAACTGAGAGTAACTTCTTATTTCTATAATCATTACACTGTAATGATACATTATTGACCATGCTTCAGTTAAGCAACAGTTGTGTGTCCACACATGCACGCATGTGAATGAATGCTGTGTTTTTCCATAGAAAATATATACATACCCTATAATTTTTCCAAAATTACCTATGCCTTAAGACAGTGGTGGCGAACCTATGGCACGGGTGCCAGAGGCGGCACTCAGAGCCCTCTCTGTGGGCACACGTGCCGTTGCCCCAGCCTTGTCTCCCCCCACAACCCCCTCCTCTCCAGCAGCCCCCCTGAAGGAGAGTCGCCCCTGAGCGTGGCCCTCGCAGAGCTGCACAGCCAAGGACATGGCAGCCAGGCAGCGTAGACAAGACTCTGCCCTCACACCCCATCGTGCACAGTTGGTGCTGCAGGGCGTGGGCAGAGGTCGTGACTGCCATAGCGCTGCTGGGCTGCCTGGGCGATCTGCAGCGGTGGGCCCTGGAGGTGGTGAGTGGCCCTGCGGGCAGGTGGGGTGGGAGATGGGGGGGGCGCAGATGGGGGTGGAGTGGGGGTGGGGCCAGTTTTTGGGCACTCGGTCTCTAAAAGGTTTGCCATCACTGCCTTAAGAGGTTATTCATTTCTCATAATCAAAAGCCAAAAATATACTGAATTTTATTTTTCCTTTTTTCTTTTTGTTCTTTGTGCAGGGCTCTCCTTCAAATGTGAAATACACTTTGCTTACTTAAGATTTCAGCAAGAACGGTGACTTAAATCTGAAGTTGTCTGCAAAGATAGCTGTATTTGTTCATGATTATGTTTTAGCAAGTGGATTGCTGAAAAGCTGAGCGGTTTTGTTATTGCAAAATATTGCCTTTATTTCATAAGACTGTCATTTTATAAGGCCACTTTGTGTATGTATGGCATGGTCACAGAGCAAGTAGCACAGAGCTCTATTGCTTCAAAATGATGCACACTGAGAGGGAGGATGTTTTCTGCCACATGCCCACATGCATAAACACACATAATTTAATCTAATTTGTTGAATTAAATAATAAGGGGTTAGAGCATGTTTCCGAGTGTGTGATTAATTCCTTAGCCCAGTACAAAAAAGTGCTGTGTCTAAATGTTGTATATTTTGCCACCTTCACTGCTCTTAGCAATTTACTTAAGTTAAACGAACAACAAAGAAAACATTACAAAGAAAATGGCATGGGAACTACTGGTTTTACTGGCTGTTAAGCAAGTTAGAAATCCATAATAGAACAAAATGCTTTTATTCTGCAGAGGTTCCTTAGTTACACAAGTGTGTGATTTTTTAATTTTTATTTAATGTATTTATATTGCATACCAATATACTTTAAACAATTTACAATACTATAGTAAAATAACATAAAGCAATATATGAAATAAAATACAAATATGAACTGAAAAAGAGCGAAACTGGCTGCAATATAAAATAACTACAACAGGAGATTAGTACAAAGCATTTTAAAACCCCTAAAAGGTTTTATGGTTGAAAAAACTGGGAGTATTAAATTCCATTTTGCACTGGAAGAACTATAATGTGGTTGCCTGGTGCACATTTCTGCAGAAAGCAATCTGCAACTCAGGTATCATAATTAAAAAGGCTCTCTGCCAAATCTTACCATGTAGTCAGTGCTAAACTTTGTAGCATGCCATGTTGTTAGAACTTCAGCAAAAATGTTCTGGACAGTAGTTGGAAAATTTTGATAGAATATGCTACAGATGTTAAGCTATAATGTAGTTCCTTCCTCCTTCCCTCCCTCCCTCCCTCCCTCCCTCCCTCCTTCCTTCCTTCCTTCCTTCCTTCCTTCCTTCCTTCCTTCCTTCCTTCCTCATCCCTCCCTCTTTATACACTTCCTTGCAATCCATTTGGCAATCAAAGAGCCTTACAACTGAAAAGAAAATTCAAATTCAGATATAAACTTTACTTTACTTTACTTTACTTTATTTTTGATTTATATCCCAATAGGAACCAGAAAAAAATAATATTGATTAAATTAAAATTTTAATATTGGTTAAATGGAAATGTTTAACTAAATGCTTGATGGAAGATATTATTGCTTCCAATAGAAGAGAATATATATCGCTCAGGGTTGAATGGCGAGTCCTCGGTGTTTTCTGAATTTGGTTGTTTGCTTGCAGACATTTCATTACTCAACTAGGTAACATCATCAGTGCTAGTGAGTATGGGGTTTGCTCCCTGTTTATATACAGTAGCTTGCTCTTCCATTTTAGTGTGGTTTCTCCTTTTTGGGGTGTTGGCTGTTGGAGAGAAACTGGAGAACACATTCTCTCCAGCAGCCAACACCCAAATGAGCAAGGATTAATACCAGCCAAAACAATCAAGCAGAAAACAATACTCTAATCCAGTGATGCCGAACCTTTTAGAGACCAAGTGCCCAAAAACTGACCCCACCCCTGCCCCACCCCCTGCCCCGCCCCACCCTGCCTGCCCGGAGGGCCACTCACCACCTCCAGGGCCCGCCGCAGATCGCCTAGGCAGCCCAGAAGCACCATGGCGGCCACGCCCTCTGCCCAAACCCCGCAGCATCAACTGTGCATGTTGGGGCGTGAGGGCAGAGTCGCTGCCATGTCCTTGGCTGCGCTGCTCCGCATGGACCACGCTCAGGGGCGACTCTCCTCCAGGGAGGCTGCTGGTGAGGAGGGGGTCGCGGGCGGAGGCAAGGCTGGGACAACGGCATGTGTGCCCACAGAGAGGGCTCCGAGTGCCACCTCTGGCACCCGTGCCATAGGTTCGCCACCACTGCTCTAATCAAAGGGGAGTGGGGATTTCAGGTTTTTGTATACAATGAATTTTAAATGTTGTAAGCCAGTCAGAGTCACCATGTTTGAATTGGGTGACCATGTAAATTTGTTTAATAAAGAAATACACTTCCAAGGAGAAAACTGCCACCAATATTAGCAGGGCAAGCATTTTCTTAGATCATGGCACTTTTGATAATTTGAACTGGATTTTTTTGTTCAAAGTTTTAGGAGATATGAATGTTGGAGGCAAGTTAATATAAGTTTATAAATTTGCAGATGACACCAAGCTGAAGGGAATAGCCAATACTTTAGAAGATTGGCTCGAGATCCAGAAGGATCTTGACAGACTTGAACACTGGGCCCTATCTAGCAAAATGCAGTTCAGTGGTGAGAAATGTAAGGTTTCACACAGGCAAAAAAACCAAAGGCACAGATATAGAACAGGTAGTACGTGGCTCAACAGCAGTAACCCTGAGAGGGATCTAGGAATCCTAGTGGACAATCATTTAAATATGAGCCAGGGGTGTGCTGCACTGCCAAAAAAGTCAATACAGTCCTAGGTTACATCAGTACAGAGATAGTATCAAAGCCACATAAAAGACTAGTATCACTTTATGCTGCTTTGGTAAAACCACATTTGGAATACTGCATCCAGTTTTGATCACAGCGATACAAAAAAGATGCTGAGACTCTGGAAAGAATGCAGAGAAGAGCAACAAAGATGATTAGAGGGTGAAGGCTAAAACATATGATGAATGGTTGCAGGAACTGGGTATGTTTAGTCTAACAAAGAGAAGACTAGGTCTGACATGATAGCAGTCTTCCAATATTTGAGTGCCTATAGTTAATGGAGAATTAACCAACCATGTGAGATACAAAAAGATACAAGACAAAGTTGCCCACAGTCTCTGTTTTGTTTATTTTAGTTTTTGAAATATCAACTAAAGGTATACAACAAGTTGACAATTTTTGTAGAAGATTTGGTTTTGGCAGATTCCTTAAAAGAAATTGAGTAAATTAAAAATAGATTGAAAGAATTTTAGTGACTAGTAGGTTTCAAGGTTAATAGAAGACAGAGATGTTAACTAAAAATATGAAGATACAAGATCAAATAGAATTGAGGAATAAAACAGCTTTTAAGATTGAGAAGAAGGTAAAATATTCAGCATAACTATGACAAATATGAATGTTATCTTATTTCAAAATAATTGTTAAGTTAATGAAGTCAAAAAGACATGTTAAGATGGGATCAGTTACAATTGTTATTGTTAGATAGAATTTCTGTGACTAAGATGAATATTTTATCTAGAATGTTATTTTTGTTTCAGACAATACCTGATGTAGCATTTAAACAATGACAGAAGGATATATCTAAATTTGTATGGCAAGGGGGAAAAAAAATGAGTTAAATATAAGGTATTACAAGATGTGAAGGAAAAAGGAAATTTGGGCCTAGCAGATTTGAAACTATATTTTGCAGCCTGCTGTTTGATTTGAACGAAAAGTGGATGTTGTTAAAAAATAGAAGGTTATTGGATTTAGAAGGTCATGATTTGAAATTTGAGTGGCATTCACATAAATATAGATTTTAAAATTCTTTTATCTCAGATGGGCTATTCTTAAAGTATAGAATGAATTTAACTGTAGAGGTTTTAAGAAGGGATTAGACAGCCATTTGTCCTGAATTGTATACAGTCTCCTGTTTAAGCAAGGGGTTAGACTAGAAGATCTTCAAGGTGCCTTCCAACTCTGTTATTCTGTATTCTATATTTTTCTGCTAGTAGAATTCCACTGGTGCAAAGGTCACACTATATTTATGTAATTATTTCTTTTCCATCATCCCAAGAGCAGTTGGACTGATTCTAAGACTTACCATTCCACTCGATACAATTTGAAGAATTTATTGGAGTATGTTAATAACTATGCACTGCTAAATAGAATGGAATTACAATCATTTGGATTTATTTAAAAATATATTGTTGTTATTGTTATTATTATTATTATCTATCATATTTTTGCCATCAGTATGCCTGAAGTATAAAAAAAATTAACATTGTTCAGTTATATCATCTTATACAAAATAGTTCCAAAAGTAACCAAGATAATATAAAGCTACCAAGGATCTAATAATGACAGGCAATAGTCTAGTGGCTGAAATCTCTTCTGTCTTGAAGCTTAGTTATCATCTAATTTATTTTCTTCCAAGCAGTATATTTTCATCTTTTTCACCAATGCTTAATACACTACACTTCAGAATATGTGGTCTGTTAAAAGTCTTCCTTATACGTGTTCATGGTCTCCTCCAGTGGCTTTAAAAGTGTCTGATGGCCCTGAAACATATCCTGAAGAATACATTTATTCCAATAGAAAATGGAGAAATGTCACCACCTGCAAATGAATTAGTGACACCTTTCCAAAGAGAGATGAGATCAGCATTTGGCATGCATCCTGAGTTTGGGGGTTGCCTGGCTACTGGTTCAACTAATTCCTCACTACACATGGGGTGTGGGGGGGGGGGAGAAGAAAGAGAAAAGGAGAGAGAGAAACATGTTCTGAAAGTGGCTGGTTTCCTTTCAGGGCTAAGCATTCAATCATACTTTTCTATCCATAGAGTTTTCACACAGTTTAAAAGCCTTTGCAATTAAGAGACGCTATGAACTGAATGACCTTCTATGTGAATGATTTTTTTCCTTCCAATAGGAATAGTGCTTTCTTTAAAGAATGAATATTACCTGGGAGTCAAAAAGCATCCAGAGGGAATTTGGGTGGAATTTTTCTATTGTTCTGAGAATAATTATTTCAAAAGCATTAACTATGCACTCTTGCCAGGATACCTACTTCATCTGCGTGTACTGCTGCAAAATTGCTACTGGGCTTCACCCTGCTGATTTTCAAATTGGCACATTGTTGAAGAAGTCCTGCATAGTTTTATTCTCCTTTGCTATTTCCTAACTGGAAATTCAGTGTTCCTATCCTGTAATTATCCCAATATCTATAAAAAGCTTCAGATGAGGTGCATTGGAGTGGTTGTGCATTTAGTTCTTTGACTGTGTTACCCTACAGATCAGTAACCTTGATTGATCTGCTGTATTCCCAACCTTTCCTTTCTTCTTTCCAGAAGCAAAAGGGGTTGGAATGCCAATCAAACTGACTGTGTCCCAGGGGCAGCCAGTGAAGCTGAATTGTAGCCTGGAGGGAATGGAAGAACCGGAGATGCTGTGGATCAAGGATGGAGCTGTGGTGCAGGGTATAGACCAGGTGTACATTCCAGTAAATGAAGAACACTGGATAGGCTTCCTCAGGTAAGAATGACATATAGAACAGGATATGTTAGATCAATGTATGATTGATGCTAATATTAAAGATTAGTTTATTTTTACATTTTTTGTGGAACATTGTATCTGGGGAAGGGCATTTGTGATTCTCTCGTCCTCCCTTATTTATTTTCATAGCGGTCCCATGAAATAATTTAGGTTGAGCCAAAGGCACCAGGCAAAATATCCAACTGGGCAATTTGTTTCCTGGATTTATTCTTTATTTGCTTAATATCTCATGAATCGTAGCCAACTCTAAGATGGGCAGACTTTCACATCCGATATGGAATTCTGGAAGTTGAAGTCTACAAATCTTGATGTTGCCAAGATTACAAACACTGATCTAAACTTTTCATGCTTTCTAGTTCCTTCCCCACTTTTGTTGCTAAGAATTTATAACATTTGTACATACTACTGAAATGCTTAAGGCACTATGCATTCATTATTTAGTAGCAATGCTCATGACACATATTGAACAAGTTCAATATAATTGCCCCCTCCTCCCATACGACAGCCTGAGCCTGAGTGAGAATTATTTGCTATAGGCAACAGTGAGCAGCTTTTTAAGGACTGCATTTTGGAGAGACACAACTACTGTGAGAATGCTAAGTGGGTGGATTTTCAATTTCTCTCTTTGTTGTAGGAGAGGAAAGCCTCTTTGTTTTTTGTTGGTTTGTTAAGCTTATTTTAGGGGATTTGTGCCTGTAGCAAAATAATGGTAAATGGTGTTACTGTCTATAGAGATTCTCAGTCATCCAGGTCATGGTTGTCCCGAAGTGGTTTTTCAAGAGGCAACTGGACTTCCTTGTTTTTTTTTTTGTTTGTTTGAAGACCTTTTGCTTCTCATCCAAGGACCTTCTTCAGCTCTGACATCTTCAAAGAAAAACAAGAAAGTATAGTTGCCTCTTGAAAAAGCACCTTTGGAACAAATGGTGCTACTGTTTTTCAAAATTATGGTAGAGGGACTCCAGGGACATACTGGGACTTCCATGAGAAGGGGAGATATCAGAAAAGTCAAGATGATAGTTACAACCCACAGAGCTTTGATTGCATGGCTGCTACTGCCATTATGACTTTTACAACACACACACACACACACACACACACACACACACACACACTGCAGATATCCTTGGAATCAGAAAAAAGGAGCTTTTGGAGCTTTTATTTATCTCTGTGGCCTAAGGAAAACTATTTTTGCAACCTGGTCTTAAGAAGCCCATTTGAAATACGTCCAACTGGTAAAACTGCACAGTACCATCTCTCTGTCAACCACCCAATCTTTTTCTTTTCTGTACCACTCATCCTTTCCATTTATTAGAATTTCTTGATGGCACTTGCAGGCCTAGGAATTTAAGAAAGGAAGAAACAAAAATGTTTTGATAAGATAGACGGTTTGGTGGGTGCCAGACAACTTACCTGTAGCACATTTGTGGCTATGGATAACCTATTGCAGTGATGGCGAACCTTTTAGAGACCAAGTGCCCAAAAACTGGCCCTGCCCTGCTCCACCCCCTGCCCCGCCCCTGCCCCGCCCCGGCTTCGCCTCACCCTGCCTGCCCACAGGACCACTCACCACCTCCAGGGCTCGCCGCAGATCGCCCAGGCAGCCCAGCAGCACCCTGGTGGCCACACCCTCTGCCCACGCCCCGCAGCATCAACTGTGCGCGATGGCGCGTGAGGGCAGAGTCTTGTCTATGCTGCCTGGCTGCCATGTCCTTGGCTGCGCTGCTCCGCATGGGCCATGCTCGGGGATGACTCTCCTCCAGGGGGCTGCTGGTGAAGAGGGGATCACGGCAGAGGCAAGGCTGGGGCAACGGCATGTGTGCCCACAGAGAGGGCTCCGAGTGCCGCCTCTGGCACCCGTGCCATAGGTTCGCCACCACTGACCTATTGCAATCACTGGAAACAGAATATGTTTTGCAAATACATGAAAATAAAGATAAAGGTGGATCTATAGATGCAGTTTTCTTGGCAACAGGAGAAATGCAGCTTTGCATGCCCTTCTCTGGGGCTACTTTTTAATTTCCCAGTTTGACTAAACACAGCAGTTTTCCTGGCAGTCTCCCACCCGAGTTCTAACCAGGCCTAGCCCTACTTAACTTCTAAACCCAGACCCAGTTGTGTGAGTGCTGCTACTTACTGTGTGTATTTTTAAACCAGGGGTCTTGTTTTTTACATCCTGGATTCATACATGAAATAAGGGGTCATTTTTATAAGTAATAGAGAGGCAGAATATTACAGTGCAAGAATGCAAATTGACATTGAATTGTCCATTCCCAACCTCTTAGCTTTGTTAGCTAAGGAATCCAGAAAAAAACTTTCATTTCCCTCCAACTCTAAGAATGCATGAAAGAGAATTTGCTTCTGAGATATAAGTAAACATTTCCTTGACATTGTTCTTTTTTTCCCCTTCACACTCTTTTCTCCTTGACTTTGATTAAAAGGAGAGAGTTTAATTCAGGCTGTACTTCTTAGATCAAATCTGGGTTCTGTTGAGAGAAAAAGATGTGTCATACAAACCAAGCCTTAGTCATCTCCCACAAGTAATGTCCCAGTGTATTTACTCCATCATTTACTTTAAGCCAAGCATGCAATACTTCAGACAGTTGATATAAAACACAGAAAAGATGCTTAGTGTGCTTCTGTGTATGTGTATAAAAAAACTTGAACCAGTTTTCCTGGTGCTTTTGCCAGATGTACTTGAGAAGAAGCTATCTGGAAATATCCCCTTTGAAGCCTTCCGAATAAATAGTTTCTTGAGATTTGTAAATTGTCAGCAGAGCCCTTGAAATTTTATTGTGCTTCTGTAATGAAACTGATATCTCAGTGTTTGCAGGAAATTAATATTTCAGTGTTCTACAGTGACAAGCGTTAACGTTTGCACCTCAGGCAATCCTAACTAAAGTCTGCATTGGAGACTTCGGGTTACGTTGGTTGAATAATACTATATGGAAGGTCAGGGCAGGGCAGACAGCAAATTAATAGGAAAATTAGGGAAACCTAAATATGAGAGTAGACTTCCTGTCTTAATGTCCAGAATATGGGTTTAGTTATTACAAAGCTGGACACTGTCCCTAGTAGAAAGTTTGATAATTTTAAGAGCTAGTGCTGAGTGGTGGATAAGGCATTGAACTAGGGCTGGGGAGATTCAGATCTAAATCCATCCTCAATCATGGAAATTCTGGCACATTTTTTTTTTGACCACTCACTTTCTCTTGGTTCAGCCTACTTTACTGGGTTATTGTGGCATGGATAAAATGAAGGCAGCTGCCCAGGAAAATCCACCTGAGCTCCGAGAGAAAATGATATATATTACCATGCGAATTAATAGCTGAGAGTAGAATATTTCTCTTGGATCAGGTTTTTAAGATGTCGCCCCTAACAGCTTCTACAACGAATTGAAATGATGCATTTCCTAAATGTTGTTATTATTTACCTGACATCTGAGACAAGTATATAAGTCACAGTATTTGCATCATGACATCACGCGTGCTTCATCATTTATTGCCTTGCCTCACCACCACCACCCCTTGTATCTCCTGTGGACATCCATGGCTGTATCTCATCCCAGTGAAATGAGTTATACTCCCAAAGGCATTATAATAAGAAAATGATTAGTTTGTTTGGAGCTTATTAAATTTGAGCTATGCTGAGTAAGTTCAAAAAATCACAGATCCTTAAGTAATGTCTTTTATGAAGGAACATTTGCTGTGTCCCGTTCACTCTTGTAAAACAAACATATTTGCTCTCTCTGCATATTTCAGGTTTAGGGCTGGATAGTTTGGCAACATCAGACTTCCTGGAACCAATGAATGATTTAACTTTCTCAAAATCTTCAGACAGGAATTGCACAGTTAATTCATGTGGGCAGTAATCCTAGATTATTACTTATCTTCCATTGGTGCCAATTTTTCCTAAACCCTATTGAAAAAAAATCTTCCACTTCATTCATTGCAGTGTTTTTGTTTCTAGAGAAAATTTCCCCAACCAAATGTCCCTAAATGTTTTGGGATCCCATAATTTCTGACCAGCATAATCAACACTTGGAAGCTGTGTTAGGGAAGGCTGTTCTAGAACATAGTTCTATCACTGCTGCATAGTTCCAAGGGATAATTGCTTAGCTAATGCCCTTCTCCAAAAAGCTCCCTCTGCTTTCTGATCTATTCACAGAAACATTTTTGGGTGAAACCACCTGAAGGGGAACAACTTTGTTTATGTGTTTTTTTGCCACCCATCTCAGCCACAAGGTGATTCTGGGCAGCTTACAATGTTATATGATTAATTCAGTGGCAATGAAAACGGCTTGTTTGCAAAATGGTTGCAAGTTTAACACTTGGCAATTTTAGTCTAGATGGCTAAGCCGGAAATGTCTTCCAGGTAGAATCTGCTAGTCAGAGGAGATAGTAATTGACTAGATTTTATTTTGAGATCCAGTTTGATGTAGTAGCTAAGACATCAGGCTAGAAATGAAGACTATGAGCCCTAGTCCTAGTCTTAGCTAACTGGATGATCTTGGGCCAATCAATTTCTCACAGCCTAGGAATCAAGCAATGACAAACTACTTCTGAAATCTTGCCAAGAAAACTACAGGGCCTAGTCTGGACAGTTGCCAAAAGTCAAAACTGACTTGAAGGCACACACATAAAAAATGTTTCATTTATTTCATTGATGCAGTTCCCTTTCTTCCTTTTTAAAATGTTCGGGGTGGGGGAAAACAATAACACTAAAAAGGCTACATTTTTCAACTTGTCACAAATTAAAAATTTCTGGAAAAACAAAAGAATTGAGAGATATTTTATATCTACAAATTTTTGTTCGTATACAGTGTTATTTACCATTTTATATTCCCCTTTCAAACTCTCTAGCTTGAAGTCTGTAGATCGGACAGATTCTGGAAAATATTGGTGCCAAGTGGAGACCAATGGGAAGAAAGAAGAATCACAGCATGTATGGCTTATTGTGGAAGGTAAGGGGCCATGTTGCTGACTTCTTCTGAGGCGATTGTTATAACTGTACATGAAGGTTGCAAGAAGAGATTGCCTTGATTAATGTTAGCTCATTTCCAGGGTTTGTGCACCTATGACCAAAACAAGAATACTCTCATAATGAGCCAATAAAGATCCAAGTGGTGGAAGGGGGCAGCTGTAGGCTATTACATAGTTTTTGCAATCTTTGTAGTACAGTATATGGAGCATTTCCAGTGCTATTTCCAGACTTGTATTTGAAAATGTGCATAGAAAATTGCTAGAGCGTGGCAGTCGGCCTATGTCTTCACAATAGAATAATGAGATGAGTATGTTGGTGATTATATCAAATCACCAGAGAATCTTTCAAGATACTGACTTGCCACTTCTGTGTGAGGAGAGATTGGTGTCTTTCTCTGTTTTAGTTCTTAGATATATGTTATGAAAATAGGGGGATAGGGAGATCACATATTATTGCCTGTGGCATTGATTTTAAATATATGGCTTAGCTTTGTTAGGAAATTCCAAAGGATCCCAGTCAGTTACAGAGAAATGTTAATCAGATTAAGGAAAGGCAGGAGACTGGTTAAACACAAGCTAGGGATGTGTTCAAAGGTCAATAGCTATGATCAGGCAGAAGTTGGAGTTGAGTATTAGATTTGGTAGAACATAATCAAAGAGACAGAGGATGAGGTTTAGTGGAAAACTGGGCTGGAGAATTAATGTTAGATAAAGTCAGACAAGCTAAAACTAAGGAAAAAATGGTTTGGATAGATCAGTGATGGCGAACCTTTTAAAGACCGAGTGCCCAAAAACTGCTCCACCCCCCGCCCCGCCCCACCCCCTGCCCCGCCCCCGCTCCACCTCACCCTGCCTGCCCGCAGGGCCACTCATCGCCTCCAGGGCCCGCTGCAGATCGTCCAGGCAGCCCAGCGGTGCCATGGCGGCCACGCCTTCAGCATCAACTGTGCACGTTGGGGCATGAGGGCAGAGTCTTGTCTACGCTGCCTGGCTGCCATGTCCTTGGCTGCGCTGCTCCGTGTGGGCCACGGTCAGGGGCGACTCTCCTCCAGGGAGGCTGCTGGTGAGGAGGGGATCGCGGGTGGAGGCAAGGCTGGGGCAACGGCACATGTGCCCACAGAGAAGGCTCCGAGTGCTGCCTCTTGCACCTGTGCCATAGGTTCGCCACCATTGGGATAGATAGTTCTTATAAGTAAATGCTCCAGTCTGTTTGGCGGCTCAGGAACCAGAAGACTGGTGACCCAGGAGGGAGATTGTCTATTGGAGGCTCTGATTAAATATCTCTCATGGTGTCTTACTGCACATTAAATTTTAATGGTTGTGGGGTTTTTTTCCCTCCTAGTATCAATGCTTAGATTTTTAAATAGTCTATATTTTGATAGTTGATGAATGTAATAGGATCTTAGCTGCTTATTAATGCACCTGTGCTTTTAACTGTAGTGAAAGTGTGTTGGAGTAGCATATAGGGTTTTATTCTACTTGGTAGTTTATGCAGATTGGATGGAGGGCATATTAGAGAGCCTTTGGCCTGGTAACTGTACATCTGTGAAGTCCGAAGTTACATGATTCATAAAGGATGAGTGGCTTCCTTTAGCTTACCTTGGGAGGATCTGTATGGGCTGTAATTATGGCTGTGGAGCTGACCACGCTATCGGTGTCAGCTTGTATAATAACTGGAAAGGATTCTGCGGCAGGGCTACATTCTAATGCAGCAAGCAACGCTTGCTGTTCTGACTCATGGCTGAATCAGAGTCCCAGCATGGGCTCAGAGTACCATGCTCTTTAGATATTTTTATATATATATTTTTTGGCACAAAAATATTTGTAATACTGTTTTTTTCTATCCTTTGGGAAGAAATAATGAGATCTTCAGTGGCAATAAGCAGATAGAAACAATACAGGAGGGATGCATGATCTGTGTCAGCCACATTGGGAACAAGGAAGTCTCTGCTATTCCTTACTATCTTTTGGATTTAAAAAAAAAGGGGGGGAGGCTAGATGTCATTTTAAGAAAAATGCGATCACTGGAGAAACTGATAGAGAATCTAGGTAAGAAAAATTGGGTGTTTGAATTTCTTCAGGATATATCAAAGACACACACACATACACACACACACAGAAAGAGAGAAAGAGAAAGAGAGAGATACACACAGATACATATACCCTGATGCCAACTAAGCACATCTTTGTAAAGTTGAAGCAGCCAGGCTTACTCAGTCATACACTGAGCTATTCCTCCTCCAAACTTTCTCTCTTGAGCACATTCTCTATCTTCCTTCTCCTTTCCTAGTGTAAAAAGAGAACAGTTAGTTGTCTTTAGTGTCAGAAGGGAAAAGAAAATTCTGACTATAGATGTCAACTCTTAAAGGTAGACCAGCCTTATGTGTGCTAAGACTCTTTTAACTGTAGATATATAGTAGCAGCATTTTGCAAGTCTCAATGTGTTTTCTCCTTCCCTCCTTTTTTATAAGAACGAGGGAGGATCTTGTCTGAGATGTCTTCTCAAGTTACATTTCTAGCCTGGACTCAACTCTCTTTTATCTGACTTATTGTTATTTCATATGGCGTAACAGAATACAGCATTTGTGCATAAAGATTCACAAAAACAGCATGTAAAATGCATATCAAAATATAAAACACCAAAACAGTGAATCTGACTCTTGTCTTGGTAATGGCTTTCCTCCCTGGCCACTCCTCCTGTTCTCTCTAAATGGACAGAATTCTCGTTTCAAATTTCTGTTTAGTCACGAATTCAACTTGTGACAAAATGTTACCTTCCACATTAGTTCTTTCCTCTAAAAACTGGAATAGCAGAGCCTCATATTGTAAGACTGTTGTGAGGACCAATGTTTGTCAAGAAGCTCTTTGTATATTTATTACAGCTATCTCAAAACAGATTTGTACTTATTGTACCTTATTGCAAGGTAACTGTTTCTACTTCGGAATGTACACTTATTTGCTGTAGATAAATAAGGATAAGGTCCAAATATGAGAGACCTGTGGATGCTTTCACGAAATAACAATTGGGGGAACACAACCTTTCATAAAACATCAGTCTACCAAAATATAAAGTAGAGAAGCTAAAAGAAAAGGCCTCGCCTCAAAAGAAAAAAAATAGTTTAAGAAAAACAAAACAAATCAAAGGCAAGTAACCTTTAAAAATAATGTCAGCCCACAGAACCAAGAATGACACATGGAGTTACTTTCTGAGTAGTTATTTATTGCTTACCTACAAACAGAATCTTTCAGTCTTCAGTCTTTGCATAACTATTACATATATTCTGTGAATTACTAGGGAGGGTCCCTCTTCGGGGACCTGCCTACCAGACATTCCAAGTTCTGCTGTCTCTTTGCCTTCTGAGAAAGAGCCCCTCCCTCCTGAGACTCCAAACTACAACCCACCACGATTATAAGTTAGTTTAATGTTTATCAACCTCAAAAACATTAAGCTGTATGGATTTCAGCTTCCTGGCATGATGGCTGGGGAATTCTGGGAATTGAAGTCCATAAAATTAAAAGTACTTGAGCTGAGAAACACTTAGAAGAACAAAATAGCCTGCTGTGTATAAAGGAAGAACCTGTATTCATAAAGATACTACAGACATTATTCTGACCAGCAGAATCTGCAGAAAGGTCAAAACAGACAAGCTGGCAGACATGGCAGCGTAATCCAGTCCCCGCCCATTTTATACATGCATCAATGTTGCATGTACATATAAAGATGAGGGGTTACAACTGTATTACCGAGTAATTGGCTATTTAATCTCCATCCCTCTAGTCTGGACCCTACCATTAGAACTAGGATGATCCTATAACTTACTTTGCAGAGCATTGTCTTATGTTTGTAGTTACCCATTCACAATTAACATCTGAGCAAGGACTGTGGGTCACTTGATCATGCTCAGTCTCATTGTGGTCCTGTTCCTGTTTATTGAAGACCACTACCACCCCTACATCAGGGGTGCAGCAGAATTTATATATAAAGAACCGTCACTACCTTTTGCTTCCTTGTAAGTAATATTTTACTTACATAGAAAATAGAATTTTTTTTCAGGAAATTTTACAGCTAAATGCTTCTGTTGACATAACTTAAACTCTGAAGGTCAAACAGTATTGCTTTTACTTTACTAAAACAAAAAATACCACGTTTAAAGCCAACAGAGCCAAAGAGTTATTTGATTTGGATTTTGAACAATTGTTTATTTAAGAATGAAAACAAAACAAGCTGTCATTTAAAATTATTACTTAGTACTCTCTCTTATGTCAGCCTTGTGAGTTATTGAATATCTGAAAGAATATTATTAAGTCATCTTATGGCAGATGGGTGTCCTAAAATGCTGTTCCAACTTCTAAAAATGAAAAGCAGCCCCAGGAGAACACAAGAGCAGTGCAGGGATTCCCTAGCTTTGAACCAGATAGAATATACATAGCAGATTAGGAGAACTGTCTCAGAATGAGAACAGCCCCACAGTGGGTGTTTCCTGAAATTCTTTCAATCCTTCAGGATATTTTCAGATATCCCAGCTTACCTTGTTTTTCTGGACAGGTAGCCTCATCTCTAAACAAAGCACATTTTTTTTCTATAGGGATCAGGAGATATAGTTGGGAATATGAAGGATACTTGAGTCTGGTATTTTGCTTTACAGCTTGCAGACTCTTCATATATTTATTTCAAAGTAACCTAAGTAAAATAGAAATCAATGAAGCTTGTAATCTGGTGGGCACTGAAAAAGTGATGGTGGAATGGTGGTGTACCTGAGCAAACCTAGGGCATTTGAGAGAAGGGGTGGAGACAACTTGTAAAGATCTGTACAAATATCCTTGAAAAATAGGAGGGGGAGGAGGAAGAACCACAGATGAGGCAATTGTCAAAGAAGAGGCAGCTGAGTTTGCAGAAAGAATGGGGGCGTGGCCAACTTCTCAAAAGGGATCCTCCGTAGTTTCTTGAACTGCATTGTAAAGTCAAGCTGAGAGAGATAATACATTCAAACTTGCAAGATTCTGTTACTGTACTCATGGTTGGTGCTTCTAGTTTGGACTTTGAAAGGGCTGACACAACCTCTTTGGCTGCCTTTTTCCTGTGAGAATATTAGTGGAAGTGGGAAAGAAGATTAGAATGGAAGAAGAATGTAAGGAAAGTCAGAGCAGCCTCAGTGTTCACGCTTGCAACCTTTTACAACTGAATTTCATGTCATATCATGTCATTTAAACACAGTTTGAAGCTGTGACATCTATTTCTCCCTTTTTTTCTAATATAGTTGAGAGCTACATTAATAGCTCTGAACTAGATCTTAATTTGTTTTACTACTGCATAGTTTATTGAATAAACAGTAATTACTGATATGATATCAAACACTAAGCCATATATATACCATGTTGTTTTTTTCTTCCATTCAATTCTTGGTTACTGCCTGGACAAGTCCCTGCCATTTTTGTGACAGTTTTTCAGAAGTGATTTGCCATTGCTTCCTCACTAGGGCTGAGAGAAAGTGACTAGCCCAAGGTCAACATTATATACAAACCTAATAAATGGCTTCACATTTACATACTATTAAATATAATGTATTCAAGGGTAAACAATGAAACATAGTCCTCAAAAGCAGAAAAACAGCCACCTTTGTGCTCAGCCAAAATGAAACAACCCATATCCTGGTTTAGCATATTATGTGAAGCAAGCTTGTGTTCATTTTGCTAAACTTCGTATAATATATTTGCACCAGATCTTAGAATTGGCACTTGGTGAATTTCTTGTTGAGAAGAGGACAGATCAGGGAGATTTTTTTTTGCTGGGCAATACAAACTGAATGTTTTGGGGGCCTACAGATCAAATGTGTTCATTTAAAGCAGGGGTGTCAAACTGCCAGGCCGTGGGCCAGTTTCATCATACTGAAGCTGCACCCACCCCATTGCCGGCAATGGAAAAAGAGTCACGATATGTCGTGACACGTCACGTGACATGTCAAGTTTGACACCTGTGATTTAAAGCATGGATGCATAACTAATGCATCCACTTCAGCTGCCACTGATTTCCAGGTATTGAATTAAAAATGAACTTAGTGGCTTAAAAACAAGAAAAAGGGAAAGAAGTAGGAAAGGATATGAGGAAATAGACTTTTTGGGTGTGATGTTTTTTCTCTAGATGAACCCACATTCTTCTTGTCTATTATTTAGATTTGCTTATTTAAGCCCTGATATTCATAGCATTTGATGATAGGGCCTTTTCTATTGGCCATGGAGCAGTTCCTGTTCTAATCAGTTCTCTGGAAGGTCATGTTGTTCAGTCGTGTTTATTAAGGAGGTTTGGACTTTGCCATATCCTTCTGTATCTTGCTCTCTTTAAGTTTTAACTAACATTGTTCAGTGAACATTGAGTGATACATTGAGATCAATCAAGAAAATTCATCTCTGGTTTAGAATCATATCCACAAGATATTGCAAGCAATTTATATAGTTGAAAAAAGCTGTGTCAACTTGTTTTTAGATATCACTTAGAAAATGTTTTAAAGGATTGGGATATTTGTTTAAGATCAGGCAGCTAATCAGAGGTCAAATGACTTAAAAGTAAGAATGAACATTCCTGCATAGTTAGGACTCTGTTGGGGCTTATTTTTCTTTATCTGATTGTGATGCCATTGTGTAAATATCAGTTTGTGATATAATCCTATCAGAGTTAAACACTGGTAAGTATCAGTGATTTCCAGAAGTTTAGATTATGCATTCTTCCCACAAAAATTGCTAAACACAGGGTGTTTTGTCCAAAGTTATTATCTTCAAATGCAAATAAGTGGTTAGAATTTAAAATAAATCCAAACATATTCAAAACATCAAGCAAGTATATGTTAATATGTTACTTGCATAATTTATGGGAGCAACAGTCAATTATGGATAAAAACCTATTTGAAAATACACTGAAAGAGTATATAAAAGACAGACAAGAAAAGCTGGATGGACAACCACTCATATCTAAGATTGATTTGAAAATAGTATCGCAGCAAGAGAAGCTGTGGTTTTTCTATAAAAACTACATTTTTCTCAAAGCTATTTTGAAAAACCCAGTTAAACTTTGAAATATATGTTAAGTACATTTTCAGATATTTGGTGAGTATGAAATGTTTGGATTGGCAGAAAATTGTGTATTTATCACTGAAGCACATTTTTAATCCTCTTTCAGGCATTGGTAATAAATGTAATTTTATTATGAATATATCAACATTGGTACCATTTCTCCCCTTCAGTTATCAAGAGTCACTTAGGATTAATTAGGTTCTCTAGCATATAGCATAGAGACATCATGAAAAGAACTATAGGGCAAACTTTTATTTGTTTTCCTTCACTGTAGATTTTATTATTTTTATTAGTTTAGAATAAGGGCCAGCTATATCTCTGAATACATTTTTTTAATATGTAACTAAAGAAAGGTGTTCAGGGTTAGAATACAAAATAAGAATATAATTTCTGTCAGCTTCTAAACCTGCTATTTCAGTGCTTTTGATATGCATGCTTTTAATTACGCTGGTATCTTTTAATTATTTCCCAGATGTGCATCTAGGCTCGTAGTAAAATGCTGTCACTGAATAATGCTCATCATACAGTTTATACAACAAAAGAGAAAAGACTAATCCTTCAAAAATTTCAAAAATTACCTGGCAGTGTATCAAAATAATTGTTCCTCTCTTTTTCTCCCATTCAATGATCAAATTATATCTTCAGTAACAAAATATACAAGGACACATTTGATCTTGTAAATGATACCGGACTCTTCTTTCTGAAGAAAAATGACAAAACTGGCCATAATTATCAAAATATATTCTGTGAGAGCAAGAGAAGTTAGTGCTTTGTTAAATATAAACGGCTAAGAAAGAATTAAATGCATCTGTTTCAGTTCATAAAATGCAAAAGTCTCCCATTTTATTATTCAAGGTGTTCCTTATTTCACTGCTGAGCCAAAAGACCAGTCAGTTATCCCTGGTGCGCCTTTCCAGATGGCATGTGCTGCAGTAGGACCACCTGAGCCAGTGACAATTGTTTGGTGGATGGGTGATTCCAGGCTTGGACATCCAGACATCTCTCCCTCCACTCTAAATGTGTCAGGTAAGACTTCTTCCTTTGATAAATAAAACTATCCATACAGGAATAGGATGGCTAATGGGACAAAGGTATAAACAACAATAATACCCAGTTTCTGACCCAATGTAAGATTTTGTGTCAGGTATCTTAAAAAGAGGGAAAACAACAACAACTCACCAAAGGCTACAACAATTTCTAAAATTTCTGAGATAATTCAAAAACAAATATACATTTCTCTCTCCCTACATCCCAGTATTTTTTGGCAAGATTTCCCCCCCAAAACTGTTTGTTGTTTGTAATGACTTGTATAAATGCTTCTGTTTTCTACAAAATATCAAAAGTCCACTATGTGCACCAGCTTGTAGTAGGTGAAAGAAAACATGATTGAAGTTACAATATTGGGGAAATGGACCACACTGAAAAATGATGTGCAGTTGATGGAACGTTGTTAAAATCCTTGGATTTCTTTATTACTTTTAATTTTCAAAAAAATAATACCACAAAAGTAAACACTATGGAGATTAAACAATTACCACCTAGAACTTTGAGATCTTCAAGAGAAATTTAAAGATATATCTGTAGTGAATATTTTCCCTATGTTTAGGAGCAAATAAAAGACATTCTAGATTTAAGACAAAATAGGAGACCTGCAAAGGAGAATTTCCTGTTGATATTTATATTAAAACTGAAATAAACATTCCAAGAAACATTCCCTTTCTGACTGGCTTGTTTTATCATAAATAATTGTAGGACTGGTAAAGCTAATGGTTAATTATCAGAACCTCCCATTTGGATAACCTCTTTATTGAAGATTGGGGTTAATGGTATTGGATTCACTGAACTTAGAACTTCCCAACTTCTGGATTCAGTAGGCATCTCATGTTCTTGGTGATCTTTACTGTGGGAGCTGGTAATTTGTTCACATACAATACTAAGCTATCATGTAGGTTTTTTGGTTTTCCAAATTTAACTATTGGAATTTGTAAATCATGGTTAATGGTTAGGATGCAGGGGGAGGGAGTTATGTAAGGGACTGGTTGTTTCTATCCATCCCATCTAGTCTGACAGGAGGGGCATACACCCTGGATCCCCTCAACTAAAAAATGCCATCTGCTGGGACATTGGAAGCAGGCTTTTTCTGCAGCAGCCCCTGCCCTCTGGAACACCATACTCTTTGTGGTTGAATTGATCCTGACCCTGCCAGCCTTTCCCAAAGCACTGACGACCCAGATACAGTATGCTCCAGGGTTTGGGGATTAGATGGTCTGTGAGATGCGATGTTCTTGTGCTATTAAGTTCTTATGGAGTTTGTTTTCAACCCTCATTGGTATTTTTTTAATATCTTGTTGATACTGTTTTTGCATTGTTTTAATGTTTTTATTCTGCATCTTGCAACTGCAGTTTTAAATTGATTTATAATACATACATATGTACATACATACATACATACATACATACAGTACATACATACAGTATATACATGTACAGGACTACCTGTAAACTACCTAGAAGTTCTACCAACCTATGATATGGAGGGATCATTTTATAGGATTTTCGTGCTACCAGGAAGCTTGTTTATGGAATCGATAAAACTTCCTTTAAATAAGTTACAGATTGCTCTTTAAGCATGATTACCTGGAATTTTACAAGCTCAAAATGAAGTGGAAATTCCATTTTGATTTGAAAGCATGGTTTATTTTGTTTTTCAACCATGCTCCTAATTTGACCTATTCTGGATTGAAAAAAAAAACTTCCTTCACATGTGCATGCAATATTTTGCTCTCTAGATAAAGCAATAGCACTTAGACTTATATACCGCTTCATAGTTCTTTGCAGACCTCTATAAGCAATTTACAGAGTCAGCATATTGCCCCCAACAGTCTGGGTTTTTTACCGACTTCGGAAGGATGGAAGGCTGAGTCAACCTTGAGCCGGTGAGGATCGAACCCCTGGCAGTCAGCAGAATTAGCCTACATTCTAACCACTGCCCACCATGCCTCAATAAAATTCAGCCCAAAATGTAGATTAAACTCTGAAAGAAGTTTGTCTTTCTTTCCAGGCTGTATAGAAAATGGCTCTGAAGAGCTAGTGTGCTGTTTCTACTTGAAAGCTTTTCCTTCTGCAGCTTTTATTTCTGTAATCTAATAGTATAGCCAACATATACTCCCAGATACATAGTCTTCATTCAGGTGCACATTTTGTGAAACTAAATTTGCAAAATTTAGAAAAGAAACAGTAATTTGTTAAACTATGTTTGTGATCCCTTTCCTCGAAACTGTTGTAAGTTTGCCTTTGAAATAGATTATTCACTTCACTGAGGAAACGTGCTTTCTCCATCATGCCCTCTACATCTGGAATAGCCTCCTCTCCCCCCCTCCCAAGTACAGCACCTTCCCTTTTGGGATTCTAGAAAGCTGTTAAAATCTAGCTTTGGTTCCAGGCCTGGAATTCATGTATCGGTGTAATTTGGAGGGAGGGGGGAAGACCTGTTGTGATTTGTGTTCCCTTTAAGATTATTTTAGTCCAGTCTGTGTAGTTTTATGTTTTAATTGTTTTATTGGGATTTTTTGGTTTTGTATGCCACCCAGTCTCCTTTGGAATTGGGCGACTATAACAAATAAATAAATAATAAATAATACCAACGTGTACACAAAACACCTTTTGACCCACATATTTTTGCTCTGCTTTCATTTGAGTTGTATACTGTAGGTAAAATCTGAGCGGTGTGTGAAACCTGTGAAATTCTACTCAGAGATTATTAAATATTTAGATTGTTTTCTAGGTTTTTTTTTCAGTATTCTTTTTTCTTGACCAATTTCTAGGTATTAATCAAAGCACAGTTTTCTCCTGTGAAGCCCATAACATAAAGGGATTATCTTCATCTCGGACGGCCATTGTACGGATTAAAGGTGAGAAATCGGTTCCTATCCTTCCACAGATGGAAACATAGAAAAGTGGCGCATTCTCTCACAGGAAAAGGGAAAAAGTAATCTAAACCAGAGCTCCCCAACCTTTATGGGTTGGCGGCCCAGAGGGAAAGGGAGGAGTAGGGAAATGTGTGCACGCACATGTGTGCAAACAGGTGCATGCACAGCAGCACCGCTAGCATCTGCGTGCATGCGCAAGTGGGCTGCGCGCACCTGCAGCGGTGCTGGTGGCAGCACTGGCGCCTGCACGCATGGGCAAGGGGGCCTCTAGCACCTGTGCACATGTGCAAATGGGCCGCTAGCATGTGTGGCGTCACTAGCACTCGCCAGCCATTCCTGCAGTCCAGTGACCATCAGGCCGCAGACTGGTATCAGGCCGCGGACCACAGGTTGGTGATCCCTGATCTAAATTACTAAAAAAACAGTAGTTTTTTTTCTCCACCTTTTAAAACTGCTACACACAACCCTCACACGTGACATCTTAGCTGACTCTTTATGCTCTCAACAGATTAAATAAAATTCAGAAAAATTATTCGCTATTTTTTTTTATGCAGGCCCATCCCTTTAGCAGGAAAATTTGCTGATAAAAATAAACCACCAGCAGCTCAAGAAAGGAGTGAGATACAAGGGAACAAACCTTGTTTTAGCTTAGGAAGGTTAGGGCTAGGGCATCAAAGGTCTTTCTAGAAGGAAAAGGGTGCTGTAACTATACACATCAGGTATAAAAATGTAAGATGAGGGAATATGAGTCAGGATGTCACAGCACAAACTCCAGTCTTTTGTTCTGTGGTTGGTGTCACAACAGTGCAATGCATGCTTCATCATTAGTCTCTCCTATGGATGCCTGTGATCATGACATTGTCTACAATGTGTAAATGAGAACAGCATCCTTTTTGGCAGACATACTGTAGATTTGGTGTTTTGGCAGCCAAAATGTCTCCCATCATCCTTTTGCTCAAATGAACTGGCTTTTCATGAGCTATTGAAAGCCGAAGGATGCAAGCTACTGCTTGGAACAATTACATTTCAGGAAAATATTGCTTTTATGTCTTTCTATACTTCGCAGCACTAAACTTTCATTTAAAGCATTAACAAGGTTTTGCTTCTAAAGTAAGTAATTCTTTTTCTCCTCCCAGTTTGTTCTCTTATTTAACAAGAAACTAAATGTGTAGGCTAAGAATAATTACTACTTTTGTAGGGCAGGGAAATTAGATAACTGGGGCTTGGTTAACTGCATTCCTTGTTATGCAAAATAGAATATATAAGAATATATTGTTAGGAATGAGTCTTATTGAAGCTTTTAATGAACCAAATACAGCTAAACTAAAAGAAAAAAGGTCCAGAAGGTGCAGAAAAAAAAGAAAACAAAAAGGCACGAATAAAGAAGCTTCCAAACTTCATCTCATTGTCCATAAGCTGATTTTATTAACTTTTCATCCTTTTTTAATGTTACATATAAAAATCTGTTCTCTCCATAACCTAACTTTTATCAATATGCAATCCTGAAATCATCTTTTTATTCTTAGTTCAGCAAAAAGTTCATTAGAAGTCAACAGAAATACCAAACAAATAGCTTATCCCTGGTCAAATAGTCCAACTTTATATTCCTTCTTTTTGCTCTACTCGGTTTAAATTGACCTTCAAATCATCCCTACAGCAACCTACTTTGTAAATCCCAAAAAAGGCATTGTCCAAAATTTCTTATTGCACCTGCCCCATGTCCAGATCCTGATTTGTCTTTTGTATTCCCATATTGGTCATCTCAATTTTTTTGTCTTCCATGTTTTCAAACTCTATATTGCCTATGCAAGTTTTTAAAAAGGTTTTTCTCATCATCTTTCAAAAGTTTGTCATTGAAATATATGTTTTTCCTGGGATTGTTAATATTTCAATCTATGTTTTTTTTTAAACTCTTTAAAATAACAAAAAGATCTAGCCTGCTTAACCATTTTAACTCTTTTCTGCCTAATTCTTTAGTTCCATATAGTGTCCATTGGCAACCTTCATCAAACTTCAATTCCTAATATGGGTTTAGCTCTGTTTTAGTTATTTCCCACAAGTATATTATTTAATGATATACTTGTTTTTCAAATCTTACAGATAAAATAACCAATAATGCCAATATCTCTAGTCTCCCTAACAGTTTAAAACTTTTTAAAATCAAAACCTCTTTTTGGCTTTTTGCCAATTTTATATTACTTTAAATCCTTATGACTCTGTTTCAGATTTCTTAAATCCAAAGAAAATGATAAAACTCACCAGGTATCACATTAAACTCACCATTTTGAAGGTCTCTAATTTCCATATAGTGGTTAACATTTCCAAATATGATTTAAAAATGAGTAACTGCCTTAGTGTCCTTAAAGGCTCTGCCACCACTGGGAGCTAAGATGTTGTCTTCCTTGGCACAAAGCACATACACCTGTGGGAGATCATTGTTTGAGGGGTCTTTGGTGCTCTCTGAGCTTGGTTGTTTTCTAGCAGATATTTTATTTTCCAAACGAGGTAACGTCATCATGTTACCTAGTTTGGGTAATGAAATGTCTGCAAGAAATTAACCAAGCTAAGAGAGCACCAAGGACCCCTCATATCAACCCTGAGCTACAAATATTCTCCTTTATTAGATCATTGTTTTTCAGTCTCCGTATGAGGAGCTGCCATTCCATACACTCATGGGTGATCTCCTGATCTCCCCTTTTCCAGAGAGATTTGAAGAACTGGTCTATCACCAGTCTTTCATTCTTCACAGCGGGTTTCATCTCTGCTCATTTGTGGATTTCAATCAGCCATGGCTCAAACCAGAAGCCAAAAGAGTGGATTCTTTCCCAAAAGATCATGTATGAAAACCATAGCTATCTTGTACAGACCTTGATCCATGATGGAGAATGTAATGTCCAGTGAAGGAATATGTCAAGGAATATGATTGCTTCAGTATTTTTTTTACAAGAATACACAACCATTTTAAGTTGGTGAACTCGTTTAGAATCTAGAGAGCATGTTCTGGCTACTCGACAAAATGACCACTGTAACCTTGCTTAATCATGAAATCACTGTTGTTGTAGGAGAAGCCGATCACAAAGCAGTCTTTTATGCAGTCATCCACTATTTTTATATGGGTGATGCTGAAAGCTGGCATTTTGATTTATAGTGCATCATGTTTAGATAGATAGATAGATAGATAGATAGATAGATAGATAGATAGATAGATAGATAGATAGATAGATAGATAGACAGACAGACAGACAGACAGACAGACAGACAGACAGACAGACAGACAGACAGACAGGAAGCTGGAGGTACCATAGATATTACATTGTTTTTACAAGACTGCTTTGAGTGTACAGATTGGGGCATGTTTAAGGAAGCAGCTACTGATAACCAACATACAAATGTTGAGGAGTATGCCACCATGGTGTCTGCATATATCCAAAAGTGCATAGAAGATGTCTGTGTCCTGAAAAGCATTGTTGTGAGGGCGAATGAAAAACCGTGGCTGACCTATGAGGTCCGCAAGATGCTGAAAGCACGGAATGTGGCTTTTAAATCTGGTGACATGCTGGCACTTAGAACAGTCAGAGCAAATCTGAAAAGTGCCATAAAAGATGCAAAGCAAGCCCATTGCCAGAAAATTCAGAACTTTTTTCAGGATCCAACAAACACCAGGCGAATGTGGCAAGGGATCCAGGCCATCACGGATTACAAGGTGACTCCATCAAGATCCAAGGACGACACAGACTTCCTAAACAAACTGAATACATTTTTGGGTAGATTTGAGGCATCAAATAATACTCCTGCTAGGAAAGCTGTGCCCCATCCTGACGAGCAAGTGCTACGTTTCTATGTCACCTCTGTCCGGAAAACACTGCAGAAAGTTAACATTCGGAAAGCCGCAGGCTCAGATAACATCCCTGGACGTGTCCTCAAGGAATGCACAGAAGAGCTGGCTTGTGTTCTCACACATATTTTCAATCTCTCATTGCAGCAGGCAGTGGTCCCATCGTGTTTTAAGATAGCCATCATCTTGCCAGTGCCAAAAAAGTCCACAATTACAGGCCTCAATGATTACCGTCCGGTTGCACTGACATCCACCATCATGAAATGCTTTGAGAAGCTGATAAAGGACATTATTATATCTAGCCTCCCGCCAGCATTTCACCCACTTCAGTTTGCCTACCGACCAAATCGCTCTATGGAGGATGCTATTTCTTCTGTTCTCCATTTGAGCTTGAAGCACTTAGAGGAAAGAAATACTCATGTGCGTTTGTTGTTTGTCGACTTCAGTTTGGCATTTAACACAATCATTCCCCAGCATCTAGTAGACAAACTGGGCCTTTTAGGATTAAACACTCCTTTGTGCAACTGGATTCTTGATTTTCTTACCAACAGGCCCCAGTATGTGCAAGTTGGAACAAATACCTCTAATACCATTTTCTTGAGCACAGGTTCTCCACAGGGCTGCATCCTAAGTCCACTGCTGCTCACCCTGTTGACCCATGACTGTTGTGTTAGGTTTGCCACCAACCATATTGTGAAGTTCGCAGATGATACAACAGTAGTGGGCCTTATTCAGGATGACAAGGTGGAAGCTTACCGCAAGGAGGTTGAGGGGCTGGTGAACTGGTGTAAGGAAAACAGCCTAGTTTTAAATACTGGAAAAACCAAAGAGATCATTGTTGATTTCAGAAAAGGCAGGCATAGCCACACTTCTCTGTGCATTAATGATTCACCTGTGGAGATGGTTACCAACATCAAATTCCTGGGTGTGCAGCTAACGAGTAGGCTGACTTGCTCGCTCAACAGTGAGAAACTGGCGAAGCAGGCACAACAACACCTGCATTTTTTGCGTCACATGAGAAAAGCACATCTTCCTTCCCCTGTCCTGACCACTTTCTACAGGGGAACGATCGAGAGCATCCTGTCATACAGCATCACGGTCTGGTTTGGAAGCATCACTGCTTCAGACAGGAAGGCGGTGCAGAGAG